GTGACCGTGCCGCCGTCGCCTTGAAACGAGACAACTTCGCGCTGACCGACAACCCACTCGGCGAGATAGTTCCAGCCAAAGAACGTCCAGGGGCGGTCAGTCGGATCCAGAATATTGATTCGGTATAGCTCGATAGCGCCGCTACGGTTGACGTACTGGGTCGTCTCGATAGAGAGAGATCGGGTGTCGGTCTCGGCTGCAATTGCCAATGCTTGGAGCGTTGCTGTATCTGGAAAGTAGGTTGTTATATATGTGTCGTACGCGTTGTAGATGGCCTCGCAGTTGGGCTCGGCGTATAGATCACTTGCACAAAAAGCGGCGAAGTCGAGCTTTGGCTGGATTTGATGTAGGGCGTCAAAGGCCGCGAGGGCAAAGACAAGACCGGTCGTGGATGGTGTAAAGAAGTCCCGGTACCGCCAGCCGCATACCGTGTCGATCGCATAGAGCGTCAGTAGTGCGTTTGATGGTGTGGTTTCCGGCAGGTCGCTGCCGCACATGAGGTTACCCCCCATGAGGCGCACGCTTGTGTCATTGAGCAGAGCCTGCGGCAGCTGACCAATGTATGTCTTGGCCGGCAGATTGAGAAATTGCTTCTGCGCTTCAAGGTTGGTGCTAGTTGCAGTTGCGATCGTTTGCAGAACGTAGCGGTAGAGCGCAAGCAGCGACGCTGGACAGCTTACGTACACCATGTCGACAGCGCCAAATGGTCCCAAACATGTGTCATAGAGTGCCAAACCAGCGTTCAGCGGCGATGAGAGCGTCAGGTTTTCAAAGAGCAAACTCGCGCGTGTCGCATTCGCAAAGGCAAAGTGGGGACTGTTGCGCAAGAGCGACAAGCCACCGACGCTGGTCGCATTATTGCTCACGGCCCAGAGGTCGCTCGCGAGTCCCCAGTACATACGATGCGACGTCTGGTAGTCGAGGTGCACGATGCCTCGGCGCTCACTGATCGGCAGACTGTACGAGAGACCGAACGGCGTCGAGATGACCATCGAATCACTGAGACCCGTGTCTTTGAAGTTTTGCCACTGCAACAAGAATACCGAGATGTCATGGCTCGCCCAGTACTCGACTTCTTCTGGTACGGACAGAGTATTTGACTGGACATGCTGCAGCCACTGACGACCTTGTACGGACGCTGCCAAGTCGTTGCCCATACCAATGTCGAACGAGGTGCCCCAGCACGATCGCCATACCGTCCAGTCTTGTAGGTTGCGCAGACTCGTCTCGAGGTACCGGGCTCCGTTGTGCTGGCTGAGAGCTGCGCACCGAGCCTGTCGCTGGCTCGTGCTGGCCATCTCCCACGTCCGATCTAGGTCAAGCCAGCAGTACTGCGTAAACATCCACGGCATTTGACACGGATGCATGGCCCGGAGACCAGCCACTAGCTCTTGCAACGGCGCCGACGCATTGAAGAGGTACCGGCGCGCCACCGTGGGATACCACGCAACGGAGGTGGCCGACGAGTTGTATGACTGCAGTGGGTCCCCAAACGCTGGGTCGTGCAGTGCAATCGAAGCGTCACTGGACGTGAGGAGCTGGCGGTTGAACGTATTAGCAAGGAAGGCGTGCATACCAGTAGCGTTGAAGCCGGCCCAGCCATAGTCGTTGGCCAGCGCCGTCTCCAAGACGCTCAAGTAGGCAGCGTTACTCCAGAGAGTGATACCTGTGTAGACTATCCCCAAGAGGCCTAGAAGGCGCTGCACGGAGTGTATACCAAGTAAGGTCAGCCTGTCCAAATTTGGCTTGGTTGGTAGGGTGGGCAGGGTCGGTGCGCCGAACGGCAGAATGGGCGACGGCTTGTCCGTAGTCTCCAGTTCATCGACGCGGAGCCAGAGCCAGACCTTAAGATCAAACAAGTACTGCGCACCGCGCCATCGCAGCGGCACGATGCCGCACATGATAGCGTCAACCACCGCCATCGGTCGCGTCGTCGGTGACGCTGTCAGTGTCGACGGAGCTCTCGGTGGGAAGATAGCGCTCGGGCGTTTCGGGGCTATGTTGGCAGAGACACGATG